TTATTCTAATAAGTTTAAATGTATGATTTCATTTAGTCTTCACAAACACTACTGAAGTAATTAATTATTCCTACCTATAGATTCAACGGAGAAAAGACTGAAGTTGTCAAGACCTTTCATTCTTCTTGGATCAACTATCAATACTCATGGAAGCAACAGTCAAGAGATCAGACAACATATTGCATTAGGCAAAAATGCTGCACAGGAACTTTTTAAAGTGTTGAAGAGCAAAGATGTCAGATTGAGGACTAAGGTGCGCCTGACCCAAGCCATAGTATTTTCAATAACCTCATTATGGATGCGAAAGCTGGACAGGGAATAAGGAAGATCGTAGAAGAATTGATGCCTCTGAATTATGGTGTTGGAGGAGAATACTAAAAGTGCCATGGGCTGCCAAAAGAACCAACAGATCTGTTTTGGAAGAAGTGCAGCCAGAGTGCTCCTTAGAGCCAAGATGGCCAAACTTCATCTCTCATACTTTGGACATATTGTCAGGAGGGAACAGTCGCTAGAGAAGGATATCATGCTTGGTAAGATGGAAGGTCAGAGAAAAAAAGGAAGACCCCCAACGAGATGGACTGGCCAGGTGGCAGCATCGATGGACTCAAGTGTAGCAACAGTAGTGAGGTTGGCCCAGGATCGGGCAGTGTTTTGTTCTGCTGTGCATAGGGTTGCTATGGGTCGGTGCCAACTCGATGGCACCTAACAGCAACAATAACCTATAGATTCAAAAATTTAAAAAGCACCACAGAAGAAGCTTTATGTGTGAAAGTAGTTTTCATAGGGCAGTAGGAGAGTTCCAAGAGCTTATAGAGAACAGGACACGCTCTCTCAATGGTGAATGACTTTGGATAGACAGTGGGCAGTATCTCATAAAGAGATATGGAATTTCTGATTATGGAAAACAAAAACATTTCCTATAGCATCACTTTACTGAGGGTCACTTCTAGTCCTATTGAGCGAACAGGCATTCGATTGAAAAAAAAAAAGTTATGTTTCTTTAATTTTGTTTTTGTTTAGTGCTGTCAAGTCGGTTCCGACCCATAACGACCCTGTGCAGGGTTTCTGAGGCTGTAAATCTTTACGGGAACAGAACGCCTTATCTTTCTCCCACGGAGCAGCTGGTAGTTTCGAACTGCTGACCTCGAGGTTCGCAGCCCGATTCATAACCACTATACTACCAGAGCTCCTTTTTTAATCTTAGAAAGGAATAATATGGCCTGGTGAACTGAATCTTGGCTCTATCTACCTTTAAACCTTAGGTAAAAACATTCCCCAATCTAGACCATTTTCTCATCTAGAAAAACAAAAAATGAAAGCTTGAACCAGATGCTAAATTTTTTTGCCAAGTATAACATCAGATCCAATAATTCATTTGACAGGTAGAACCAACCACATCATCAGTAGATTCCATACTTTCAGATAAGCCTCAGAGAAGAAGGTGGAAGTTAACACAGCCTAGAGTGCAGCTGTGACCTCTGCAGGGTTGTGTGAGAAGAATCTGGGCTTCTTAGCTGGGGTTATACTGTGTTTACCCATCTCTGCTCCTGAATCTTCAGTTGCCATAGTCTGCTCACACCTGGATAGCTGTAGTCTTGGCATTCTACCACTTGTTGCTCAAGACTCTTAACTTGAGCTAAAAGTAAGTAAGCTTTTGTGCTCTTCTTTCTCCTTTTGTTTGATAACTATTTCATGGTCTTTTCTACTGTGGGTGCAAATAACAACCGAATCTCAACATTTTCTTAATCTAACACATGCTTTTCTAGAACTCAGAGGGGCACAAATGGTTTACACTGGATTATGAACCTAAAGATTGTCAGTCAGTTCAAACCCACACAGAGGCTCTGCAAAAAAAAAAAAGCCCTGAGAATCTGCTTCCATAAAAATTGTTGTTGTAAAGGGAGACGTTCTGTAACAAAAACGGGGAGCAGTTAACCTTCCAGTCCAGAAACAGAGGACCCTAGGACCATCAAGGGAGAAGAGCACAAGCAGAATGTGGGACCCATCCAGAGAAGCAGCGACACCAGAGACGGAAGCAGAGATGGGGACATGGAGAGAGGGAGCAGCTGAGGACTCTAGACTCATGGAAAGAGAAAGGCTGAGAGCTGGTGGTCAGGAGGCAGGCTTGCAAAATGTGCCCTTTGGTTGTTTAAATTATTATATATTCCTCAGTGTTTTTGTGTACATATCCCCACCCCACCCCACCCCATCCCCAAAAAAGAAAAGAAAAACAGAGGGAATGGAAAGCAAGTATTATTGAATGATGATGCACGGAGATTGTAATCATTGCAATGAAACAACGGTGTAAAATCAATGCTCGCCCATGTAAACTATCACTCAGTTCACACAAAAAAGATTGTTGTTAAGTGCCGTTGAGTCAGTTCCGACCCATAGCGACTCTGTATAGGGTTTCCAAGGAGCAGCTGGCGAATTTGAACCGCTGACCTTGCAGTCCAAACCGATTTTGAAGTCCAGCGCACTAACCCACAGTGCTACACTAGAACTCCATAAAGATAACAGTTAAGAAAACCCTATGGAACAGGTCTACTTTGTAATACATGGGGTCACCATGAGTCCGAATCAACTCACAGCAATGAGTTTGGTTTCCTTATCTAGTGCTGCTATTAACAAATACTACAAATGGTTCGCTTTGACAAACAAATGTATTCTCTCACAGTTTCAGAGATTAGAAGTCTGAATCTTTTAGGGAAGGCTTTCTTTCTCTGTCAGCTTGCTGGGAAAGACCTTGTCTCTTGGAGTTTCTGCCCCCCGAGTGATTTTCATGTGGTTTAGCATCTCTCTTTCCCCATCTCTGCCCCCACTTCCTTTACTAACTTGTTCTGTTGTTGTTGTTGTTGTTAAGTGCCTTCAAGTTGATTCTGACTCATTTTGACTCTCTGTACAACAGAACGAGACACCACCAGGTCCTGCGGCATCCTCACAATTGCTGCTACACTTCAGCCCACTGCTGCCGCCACAGTGCCAATCCATCTTGTTGGGGTTCTCCCTCTTTTTCTCTGTCCCTCTACTTGCTAACTTGTTTAATCTCTTTTATATCTCAAAAAAAAAAAAATTGATAAAAGACGCACCAGATACTAATTCTGTCAATTAACCTAAACAAAGACTATCCATTTCCAAATAGGATTATAACAACAGACATAGGGGTTATAATATTTACAACACATATTTTGGGGGAACACAATTCAATCCATACCAGTGATTAATGTTGTTATCCTGAGGACAATCCTGCCCTATAAGAACAGATTTAGAAAAACGAGCTGCTAGAAGCTTCTTTCAGGGCAGCAGGTACACCTGTGAAAACCCTCCTAGCTAATCTAAACACAGCAGTTCAGACACAGGCTGCTCTTTGGGACCTCGTTTACCGTTTTCCTACTTTCTGTTTTGCTTGTTTTCTTTCCCATCCCATTTCTCTCTCTCACACACACACACCCCTTCATTACTCCATTAATTACATGACTTTCCAAAGCCAGCTGATTTCGTATCAGGCAAACACACCAGTTTTTTCTTCTGGGAGACAGTTATCTGGGACTGAGAGGATTTTCAAGGTGCAGTTAGCTGCTACCCTGGAAGTGGCCTCTGGCTACTTTTTTTTTTCTTGATCCTTCTACCCAATTATGAAGTCATCTTATGTACTAGATATTTTAAAACGTCCCAAATTACTCCAGTGTGTGCCTTCTGGTTCCAACACAAAGTTTAACCCCCTCCACCCTACCCTAAGGAGCTCTGGTAGCACAGTGGTTACGAATCGGGCTGCTCAGGGTCATCAGTTCGAAACTACCAGCTGTTCCGCGGGAGAAAGATGAGGCTTTCTGCTCCCGTAAAGATTTACAGCCTCGGAAACTCTATGCAGGGTCACCATAAGTCGGAACCAACTCCACGCCACACAACAACAACCCAACCCTACCCCAAACCACTTAGAATTTAGCTCAGTTCCTTATCAGCCTAAATCCTTTGCTCTTGGTACTCCTCCTATATAGAATGCTCTTTATACCTTCTCCACCTGTCAGCAAACTCTAATCAGTCTTTTTAAAACAACTCAAACACCAACTCTTCTGCCAAGTCGTGTGGCTTTCCAAATCTGTTAAGTAGAGAAATTAAAGAAAAAGGGAAGAAACTATGTGGTCGGACACTGGATGCCGCAAGAGAGTGCAAGATGAGAGTCATCTCTAAGGAAACACGGAGTCCAGGTGGGCGTTACAGGATACAGCACTAGACCACAAGGTCAGTTTGAGCCACAAAAGGTTGGCTGTTCAAACACAACAGTCGCTCCTCGGAAACACTATAGAGAGTAGCTCTGAGTGGGAACCGACTGGGTGGCACTTAACAACAACAACAACATAAGGAAACACATGAGCAGTAATGGCGCAGTGTTTAAGTGCTGGCTGCTAACGAAAAGATTGGCAGTTCGAACCCCCGAGACGCTCCGCAGGAAAAAAAAATGTGGGCGTCTGCTTCCATAAAAATTACAGTCTTAAAAACTCTATGGGGAAGGTTCTGCCCTACAGGATCGCTACAAGTCGGAATCCACTGGGGGGAGGTCTTGGCGGGGGTGACTGTGTTTGTGTTGGAGATAGTTCAGAGTTTTTGGCCCATTAAACCGCAAGGATGAAACACAATCTCTCTGGGCCTCAATTTCCCTTCTTTGCATATTCACAGAGAAACCACGTGCACCCTGGAACACGCACAGTTCGGCTTCAGTCCTCACCTCAGAAGGTGCAAACCCGTCAGGCAGCGAGACCCGAGCCTCAGTCCCTGCCAGGGAAACTGGCATCGAGCCGCCCACGCCAAGGCCACCCTGGACTGGACGCGCAAGCTCTACCCGCCCCTGTCCGACCGCCTTTCTCGGTTTCCGGACCATGGTCCCCCGGACACTTTGTGTCTGATTTCTCCGCGCCACAATTACTTCAGGGGGCGGCAGGGATCTTGCATTCCTCTCAGCTCAGTTGGAGCCTCAGGTTCTCCCTCCCACCCAGACTTACCTCTTGCTGAGGGGTCGGACCCTCAGGGCCACTCGCACGTTCGCCATGCCTTCGCCACAACCCACGCCCAGCAGGCCTGTCCAGCGACAGCATCCCTGGCCTGTCCCCGAGCCACAGCCCCAGTCCCGGGCCCGCCCTCCCCACTCGCCTCTCCGGACGGCCCCACCCATGCGCACACCACCGCCCCAGTAGGGCGGGGTCCTCAGACTTGCAGCCAATCCCGAAACTGGTGAGCGGGAGGAGCCCTAGCCACGCCCCCTCTCCCGGCCCCAAGCATTTCTAGGGACGTCCCTACCCTTACGCGCGCTGAAATCCGGAGGGGGCAGGACCTGCCAAGCGACGACCAGTCCCTAGTCTGGCACGCAAATTAAATCTGACCTGTCTCGGCTCTGCGTGCAAGTGAGTGAGCTCCTTTCCCTGGTTCTTGGATTGGCTGGAGATGATATATTTTTGTTGTTAAATGCCGTGGAGTGGGTACTGACTCTTAGCGACCTTGTATAGGTTCCGAGGCGCAGCTGGTGAGTTCAAACCGCCGGCTTTGTGGTTCAAACCGACCTTGGGATCTAATGCTTTTCCTATGGTGCCACACCAGAACTCCGGACATGGTTGTTGTTAAGTACCGTGGATTCGGTTCCAACTAATAGCGACCCTGCACAGGGTTTCCGAGGCTGTAAATCTTTACGGGAGCAGAGCGCCTCATCTTTCTCCCGCGGAACCGTTGGTAGTTTTGAACTCTTGACCTTGAGGTTAGCAGCCCGATTTGTAACCACTACCAGAGCTCCTTCCGGACATGGTATATACTCCCAAATAAATTAAAATTTTGGTTAATGCACGACAGTTTATAAAGTACTTTGCTAATATTTTTATTTCTGCATTAACCTGAACTTGCAATTCTATGATTAAATTTTAGAGACTAAAATTAAATGGGGAACGCCTATATTTTTACCACACCCAGCTAGGTACAGTATTTCTTTTTTAAAAGGAGATTGGAGTGAGGAGAACTGTTTGGAAAGCTCTTGGTGAATTTCTTCAGTCTCTGAGGGAATGCTGTTTGATCTATTTGATTTAATTAATCTGTTTGATTAATTCATCAAAAAATACTGAGTATCTACCAAGAATCAAGCATTGTCCTAAGGCGCTGATACAATGGCAAAGAAAACAAAGTCCCTGCCTTCGTGGAGTTTAAAATCTGAGACAGATAAGGAGGCTGTAAATACCTAAATGTCAAAGGGTACAATGGAAAAGCAGAGTAAGGGGATTTAATGATGGTTTCTGTATATGTAGAGGTTGGTACAACTTTGGTTATATCGAATAATAAAACCAAAAGGGAAGTACAGTTTAGTATTTCTAAAGCTTAAAGACCTGAAGAAAAAAATTCAAACCTCAGGTTGCAATATTGGATTCTATAGAGAACTAGTGAATGGCACAGGAAGCATCAAAAGATGTTAGGAAGAGTCACTGTACTAAAAAGAATTGGTCAATGTTCAAGCATTTCAAGAGGCAATTTCAAGAACCAATGGGATTGAAAGAAGTCCAAGCTGCACTGGGGCATTGGCAAAACAAGATTCCAGAAATTGATGGAATACAAACTGAAAGTAAAATTTTCCTGAAGCTAATTAAAAAACGGTTGCAGCAGTACATCAAAAGTGAGCTTCCGGAAGTTCTAGCCAGATTCAGAAGAGAACATGAAACAGACATCAGATGGTTCTTTTCAGAAAGCAGAAAATACCAAAAAGATGTTTACTTGTGCTTTATTGACTATGCAAAGGCATTTGACTCTGTATATCATAACAAACTATGGATAACATGGCAAAGAATGGGAATTCCAGAGCACTTAATTGTACTCATGAGGAACTTGTACAGAGACAAAGAGACAGTTGTTCAAAAGTACGAGGAGAGGAGA